GCACATGCTTGGATGTATATCGATGACCCATAGAGACCACCATCCCCCGATACAAAAGACACGTCATCAACATCTGCAGACATATCTAGGTTTTTCCCACCCCAGATTCATCGAATATTTCTGTCACTTCACCAGTTAAATTCCGCCATCAAGCATCATGTCGGTTTTTTCACATTTAGTTCGACATTTTTGTTTCACCATGTTTGTAAAACTACAATCTTGAGTGGAAACCTATATTCTTCAGTGGAATAAGGTCAATAATGTATATGCATACCATATTTATAACATATCTTTAGGTGGATATGTGAAGAGAATATTATTGGATTACATTATCCATAGTACACTTTTTTTTTGGATTATAATAAGTCACATTGCACCATTTACACTCTTATAGGTATGTTAAGTAGCTTAGGGTACCATTATGACTGATATTGGTAGAAACCATTTCGGCAAATGGTACCGTCCGGACTCTTAATGGTATGAACATAGGATACCATTCTGATTGATATTGATATAAAAATGTAGTACCATTCTGATCCACTGGTATGTGCCATAACACAATGATACCATTATGACACATATTCATATGTTAGTCTGCATCTCACTACATGAATTATATACTTAGTTAATTATTGAATTAATTGTATGTGCCATAACACAATGAGTTAGTTGTACAAATCAGTTAATTATTGAATGATTTAAATCCTGTTGCAAATGATGTATGGACAGGCTAGTGGGAAACTCGTTGCTGAATACATGGCCTTGAGGAGGGAAATGTAGTTGCCCCTGGTACGCGTTGTTGGCGAAATACCTTACGGCATCACTGTGCTCGTTGTTCATGTGAATTCCACCTGCTAAAATCCTTTCGTTCACTACTAGAAAACAACTCATCTCCGACGGAAAATTTCCATCGGAAACACCTTGAAATCTGTCAGAAAAGGGGTTTCCGACGGAATTTCGTCGGAAGTGGTTGTCGGAAACCGCTTGGTAGGAAAACCACCTTTTCCACCAAAATTCCATTAGAAAAGTGTTTGCGACGGAATTTTTCGTCATATGAGGTTCTCATGCACCGAAAAAATCCGTCGGAAATTTCCGACGGAATAGTAAAATCCGTCGGAAAGTAATTTTCTGGAATTAAAAAAAATGTCGCGCCACCACCGGCGCTGCGTATCACCACCTCCACCACCCCCAGCCCCTCCACTCCACCAGCCCCTTCACCCTAATCCCCCACCCCACCAGTCCCTCAATGCTAATCCCCCACCCCACCAGCCCCTCCACCCTAATCCCCCACCCGACCAGTCCCTCCACCCTAATCCCCCACCCCACTAGCTTGTAACCCCACTAGCCCCTACACCCCCACCAAACCCACTACCCCACTTCACCTAACCCACACCCAAACCTAAACCCAGATCTACCCTAATCGACCAAACCAACTAAATCGACCCAAAATCACACACCCAAACCACCCGAACACACCCAACCACACACCCAAACCACCCAAACGACCAGCCAACAACCGTTTTTTTTTTTTTAAATTAAAAAGTCGTAAAACATACCTTATTACCTGAATTTGGCTTTTAATTCTTGAATTTGGTTTAAATAGGCCAAATTCGACCATGAAAAGTCTAGATATACACTTTTCATGGTCGAATTTAACCAAAGAAACCATTAAATTCAACCAAGCAAAACACCAAGACAGAATATGAGGAAAGAGATGAAAGAAGGAGAAGATGGATGAGGAGAGAGGAAGAGAAGAAGAACAAGAAGGGGCGGAGGAGAGAGAAGCGGAGGAGAAAGAGGCAGAAAGAGAGAGAAAGAGAAGGGGAGAAGGGCGGATAAGAGAGAAAGAGAATAGGGGTGGAAAGCATTTAGGGACATTAGGGTCTTAAGAGAATAGATGACCCGTGTTTTATATATATATATAATTATATATTCCGACGGAATATTCCGTCGAAAATTTAACTTTCCGACGAAATTTTCGGTCAGAAAGAGTATTTTTTTCGACGGTTTTTTCGTGTCCGTCAGAAATCAGCCTTTTTCTAGTAGTGGTTGAACGCTGAGGGGCCACTCCCATTTCTTGCAATTGGATATTGGCCCTGGCAGCAAACACATCACGTTAAGGCTTGTTGTTTTTCCTAAAAAAAAAAATTAAACAAAAGGAGAAAGTAATTAGTAATTAGAAATAACAATTAACAGTTAATTGTGAATCAAGCAACAAACTCCCAAAACCCTAATTCTCTCTCTCTCCACTGGGCCCTCTCTCTCTCCTCCCTGTCCGTACGACTCTCCTCCTTGGGTGGCGCGTGTGGTGGTTTCGTGGGTAGTTCGTGGTGTGCTCGTGACTCACATCTCCGTCAAAGGTTGATTGAAGTGTTCGATCATAACTAACTAGCATTAGTGGAGGTTTGATCCGCGCTCGTGGACTTAGTAGAGGAATCACATGTGGGGTTCTTATTCTCCTTATTGCTCTTGCTCAATCATATGTGGAATCACGCTTCAAAGGTATTAATTCTAATTCTTTATGTATTATGCATGATCTTGGGTTTAGGTGCTTATATGAATGTGATTTATGTTTCTGCAATATGTACCTATAAAATCCTACATGTTTTAGTCGGGCTTTACAAAGGGTAGTTATATCCCTTATTTAAGAAATCCCGAAAATGATGAAAACGCGTCTCGCGAAGCTGTGCCCAGGCAGCCAGGGCATCTCCTCCCGGTAGGGCGCGAGAAGCAACTCGACCTTGTGCATTTTCACGTAGACTTTCTTGTGCAGTACCTTGTCTGCCCGGGCTGCCAGGGCAATGCTGCCCGGTCCGGGCGGATGAAGTTTAACTCTCCGCACAATGCTCTTCTATTCTTTTACCTTCACCCTGGCTGCCAGGGCAATGTTGCCCTCTAGGGCGGACACGGGAAAATGCTTCTTTATCTTAATAAGCTATCGTGGCCATCCAAAACAGGTCCAAATCATCCGAAAATCTTCATGTGCCTACAAAATCAATTAAATAGACCAAGCCACACTAGAGAAGAGAATATTAGCAAGAAATAGCTCTGTAGAGCTCAAAAACCATACGAAAATAACTATAAATGAGGGTAAAATATGGTATAGAACGTGTACATCAATCATCCAACCACCTTCATCATTACCTTGCATGTACATCATAACTGGACAATCGCATTTTTTAGTCTTCTTCCTCACCGATGGTTCTTCCTTAACCACAAACCTCTTACTAATGTTACTATTAACCCTCTTTCTGATTGCTGTCTTCCCATAGCACTCACACTTCCATACATAAGTGTGAAATGAATTTGGCTTTCTCGCGTTTTTTTGAGGCTAGCTTCCTACCACCTATATGCACAACACCAAACCCTTCTTGCCTACCATAATCACGATAAAACTTATTCATTTCATCCTAGGTGTCGAACACCATTCCCACTTCTGGTTGAGGTAATACAGTACCTGTACATCTTTCTAACTTCCTCTCTGAACCCACAATACAGTCTTCATTCAAGTCAATAAACTCACTGTCCCTATTGACACGCACGATATATGAGTGACAACCCTTTGCCGGAGGCTCCTTATTCAAGTCAAAAGCCTCCCATCCATCGTCGTTAACAACCCTATGTGTAAATTCATCACTGTCTGTATATGTGCTACTATGTGAACTACAACCTACAGAGTCTCCCTCCATTTCCTGGTCCATTTCCCTGTCCATTTCCTGGAACTCACACTCAATCTGCTTGATGTGGGAACAGAACAACAACAATTAGGGAGATGGAGGGAATTGTCACAACAACAACTAACAACAACTACATGAACAACACTCAAGCTAATTACAAGATCAATGAATCAATAAAACGAGCATGAACCAACACATTATGAGATCCAAATAAACACATCTGTAAGCAACATTCGATTAGGAGAATTACAGCCTCCAACCAAGATTAGAAGGCATATTTCATATTTCAGCCATCAACATTTTCCAATCACATTCCATAATTCATCTTCCATCTTCAATTACAAACAACAACACAATTTACACTAAACAATATTTCAACATTCAATTCAATTGTCCCAAAAACATAAACAAGTTCCAGCAAATGTAAATAATCAATTAAAATAGAACAATTGCATGCCCATTTTCCTCTCACATTCCATAATTCAACTTCAATTATTAATTTATGAATTAACATTACAATTACCTTAATTATTAAAAATTCTGAAATAACATTAATTTACCTCAATTATTTCAATTTCACTATTCACAAAATCACCACCATAATCCATTGTCAACAGCCTACTAAGCTCCCAACCAACTCGTCTCCTTCAGCTGCAACACCAATCAAACTCCAAACTGCACTCCCAATAGCCAGCAATCACCTTCAATTATTTTTTTGGGAAAAAAATCTGGGTGGTGGTCTAAATTGTTGATTTCAGCTTACTAATCAGTGTGTGTATGCTCTTCGCTTATTTTTTTTGGAACAAAATTGGGGAATAGATTACTAATTCCATTATTTAATGGCGCAAAAATTGGGAGGGAAAAAATTGGGGAGATTGTTAGGAAAAAAATTGGGGAAAATTTTGGGGGAAAAAATGTCTCCGCCATGAATTTTGGTCTTCTTTTACATGGAGGTGGATTTCTTAATGACATAGTGAATTCCCCCTTTCTTACATTATTATGCAAGTCCTTTACTTTTAGAGGAATTTTTTTTTTACTCCGTAACTTAGTTGAGTCCTCTTGGCCCTAACTTAGTTGAGGTTAAGAATTTCTGGGAAATGAGGGCATAAGGCGGATACAAAGTGGGGCGGATACAACTTTAAATCCACCCCCACCCATCACCCATGAGCCATGGCGGGTATGATTTTTATCCCTATCTCTACGGCTCTACCCCACCATTGGCTAAACCAAGACCCATTCCCGTCCCATTGGGGCGGGTCTCCAACATCGTTACTTGTAACATCAAGAATATCAAATTGCCCTTGGCCTGCCTTGGTAAAACCTGAATCTTTATTACTGCTGCAACAACTGCAGAAGTTCTACCACTCTTGTAGAACCAAACTAAATAGCCCCCCAATTTACTTTACCCGCCTTCAATTTCTTCCCTTGCCGTAGAACCCTTAGAACCAGTAACTAATAAATCATTAAAAATGGCGCCAAAGAAGAAGAAAGAAACCTCCCCACCATCTTCTTCAGATGGCATGTTTTCTGGGATGTTCGTTTTCTTACTTGATGCTGCTGTTCAACCTCGCCGATTGCAGGTCCTCTACTCTCTCTATATTTCCCAGAAAAAGAAAAAAATAAAATAAAAACTAACTTTAGCTTTCTAATTTATGATTATATATGACTAATTGATTAAAGTTTCCATTTTTATGATTGTGGGTGTTAGATATGGAAGCAGAGATTGGAGCAAATGGGTGCTAAAATTGAAGGGTATCTGTCAAAGAGAGTAACCCATATTTTTGCCATGAATTTGAATGCCCTTAAACAGAAAATTGATTCTGAGCGCTTGTCTACCTTTAAAGGAGTAAGTTTGATCATCTCTCTCCCTCTTTTTTTGGTGTATAGAGAGCTATTTTGGGCAATGATGTAGACGGAATTTGATCCGAGGTCTTGTTCTCTTGGGTACCAATTAAGCTATTTAGTTGCTCCAACAATTTATTTGATTTTATTTTTGGTGTTGCGTCATTGTGTGTGTGTTGATTTCTAAGGACACGGCTTTTCTTTTCTCTTTTGTAGATTGGAGTTGTTTGTGATTGTGTTTAAATGTAAAATTAAGGTTACAAACAAAAAAGTTGAAGAAAATGTTGGTATGATGATGAGATTTGATTCTCAATGACTATCTTGGTTTGTTTAAAAATGTGCAATGCATGTCCATAGTTAATAGCAATTAAAGGTCTACTTTGTCAACAATGGTTATCAGCTCAGTTTTAGCTTTAGAACTGTATGGCATAGACAATTGCACTGTAATTTTAGAAAGGTGGAGTGTTATTGGAGGATTGGGCAATGCAGATAGGAAAAAGACTAGGCCTAAGTGAATACTTCAATGTAGATTTTAGTACAATCAAGAGGCTTCTGTTTCTTCTTTGTTGAGAACTTTATGTCGAGAGAGCTTGGTAGCAAGGATTTTCTAATATTGTACCATGGTGTAGCTTGCAAAATTTTGAAATGATACTTTATAGACAGTGAGTGAGTTCATCGTATGTTACTCACACCCAAAATCTGATTAAGGATCTTCTGATCAGGTAGTATTGTGGAATGTAGATGCTAGATTGGATCCATCTAAATTCTGTGAGTTCCATCTATTTTGTCGTCTAATTTGAACTCGCTTTCTCATCATATGCTTGTGTGAGAATTTGATGGACATTCCCTTGGTTACAAATGAGAAGTTTGATTAAACATTGTGTTAATCCTAGTTGAGTCACAAAGTAACACTTTTATATTACAGTTTCTCTTTTCCTCCTTGACATTAAAGAATAATGTGCTGACAATAACAATACATAATGCATTTGTATTCCAGTTTCTTTTATAATAAATTAAGAATCATTGACTCCTTTTGCCATCATGCATCTCCAAGTCGACATAGCCCTTTGTGCAGGAGTACAATCAACAGGCTTTATTAGGTGCTGCATCAGTGTTAATATGTTTTCGCTCATGATAGATTTTACTTCCATACACAGAGTATATTAGCGTACCAGTGGTTGGAAGATAGTTTGAGATCAGGAGAAAAGGTATCAGAGAATTTCTACCTTCTCAAAGAGGAACCTAGTGAAAATGTTCCCCGTAAACCCTCAGGTGAGGTTTCTGGTAATACAAATGGAAACTCTTCAGGTAGTGAAGAGCTTCCACAACACAAGAAGCCAAGATCTTCTTCCCCCCAAAATTCAAATGATTCAACCCGATCTTTGCCTAAAGATTCAAGAGATTTGAGTGCTGAGAGCAAGGGCACCGGAACAAGTGATGAACTACATGAGGAATCATATACCTCTAAGAGCTATGACGGGTCGTGCAACACCATGGATTCACAGACTGCCAATTCCAATGCTGCAGCTGGTCTTACAGATAAAAAAGTAAATCTCTATCGTTTATATAATTAACCTGATGTTATGATGGTATTTGTACATTGCAGACATGCATGTACATAGATGTATATGCTGTTCTTGTGTTTGTTCAGGTGGATGCCTCTAATCATGAATTTTACGAATTTCTTTTTTCAATTCATCTTTCTTTCATTTTGCTTCTCCTTTTCTCTCTTGGCATGATCAAAGATTTCTATTATTGTTCATGGTTAAGTGCATGAGATTAAAAATTAGAAGCATCGAGTGTCTGAGAGAAAGTGCTGTATCAATCAAACTCAAGAAGTTGTCTAATGGAATTTATGATATACATTTCTACCCATTTCAGGTTAGCACATATAACCCTCCTGATTTAAACAAGGATATCACTAATATCTTCAAGAAGCTTATAGACATGTATAGAGGTAAATTAGACTTAATGATTTGTTTATAAAAGTATTTTTCCTTAGACATTTCTAATATACTGTTGCTAATATTTGGTTGTTTGAATGTAACAGCACTAGGTGAAGATCGAAGGTCATTTAGTTATTATAAGGCCATTCCTGTGATTGAGAAGTTGCCTTTTAAAATTGAGAGTGCTGATCAAGTCAAGGGCTTGCCTAATATTGGAAAGTCATTGCGTGATCATGTAAGTGATCTGAAACATGAACAATTTTTGGTTTTCAATTGTATGGACTATTGACTGCTGTTCTACACTGACTGTAAGTTGTGCAGCCTTACTGGATTTTGTATTTTTACTGAGCATTTTCGATTTTGAAATAGTTATTTTGCTTATTATATACAAGTAGCTGTTTCATGTTCATATATAAGTAATCATCTAGACATCTATTATTTGACATCTGATAGCGTTATTGTTTTTCTTCTTTATTAGAGCACATTACTCTGCTGTCTGCACTAACACCCCCCCGCACCCTCCCCCCCCCCTTCTCTGGTAATCCTTCTGGACCAGTTTCCCCCTTGATTTTGTGTTTTCAAAGAGTTACTCTTCATTTATGTTGAGCTCAGGTGGGAACCATTGTGGGTTATGATGTGTAACATCTAGTGATTTTTTCAATCCTCAGATTTTTTGGAGGATATTTTATGCTTTTATTCTTTTACTTCTTGTGGTTTTAGACTAAAAGTCACGCATGCAAGTTTAATTTTTCTTTTCTTTATTTATTTATTTATTATTTTATTTTTCTGTTTCAGATACAGGAGATAGTGTCAACTGGGAAATTGTCTAAGTTAGAGCACTTTGAGAATAATGAAAAGGTAAGTTATTGTTTTAGTACCTTAATTTATGCTTCTTTACCCTCCTTATAATGTGAAGTTTTCTTTACCCTGCATAATCTGTTTTAAATATAAATATATAATTAAGTAGTTTATCTTCTTAAATCGACATGGCTTGGTTTTCGGTGCATGTATTCAGACCTAGGTAATTGGATCAAAAAAGGACTTGCAAAGTACTACTTCCTCCAATTCTTTGTTTGGTTGACATGTTTTGACTTTTGACACTAGTTACAAATTCTACTTCAAACTACCCTTTGTAATTTATAGTTATAATAATAATAATAATAATAATAATAATAATAATAATAATAATAATAATAATAATAATAATAATAATAAAAACCATATGATCTTATTAGGTTTGTCTCATCAACTTTTTAGAAATTTCACTTATCGATTATTTGACATATTAATCATTGAACTTGTGCATTAGTAAATGTGATATAAGAAACATGTCAACTAATAATAATAATAATAATAAGATGATTTATACACAAGCTAATGAAGAATGAGAGTACTTTTGTGGTTGGTATTGTCATATAATCTGAAGGTTTCCTACCTATAACTTAAGTACATATAGTAGGTAATACTTAACAATACTTGGTATATATATTAATGCGTGAAAAAAAACCATAAAGAAAGTAATGGAATTGAAGAAGTATAGTACTTCTTAAATTATAATAACTCAAATGACGGAAACGACTATAATATTTATTAATTTTCAACAATGCCTTTGAACTTTGTTTTACAATTACATTACCATTTAAACTTAGCTCACATTTTAAATCCAAATTTAGCTTTCACATTTTAAATCCAAAATTTAGCTTTGTAATTCATGTCATGGAATTAAGTAAACTAGGTAGCCATATTACTTGCTCTTCAAATTTGGGTGAATAAGTATCTCTCCTTATCTCATGAACACGTATCTTACAAAGTTGCACAACAGCACAAGTGTTTTTTTATTTATAAATTATTTAGGAAAACTCAATTTACTCAATTGTCCACTTTAAATTAAACATTACAATCTTAGGCCTTTTATACAGGCTTATAAAGTCCTATGTTAACTAGGTTTCCTAATTGCAATGAAATACATTTTTTTTGTCACATGTAAAACCTTATTCTTAAGGAATAAGTAAAACCATGCAACATTCCTAAAAACTATATTACTTTCCTCGCCATGAAATATAATTTCAAGTTCCTTATAATTTGGCTCACAATTATTTAATAATATTAAAGTAATTAAACTATAACTTAAACTCCTTGACCCATCATTACCCATGAATTCCACATCATTGTTTTACCCTTAATTCTAAGTCCATCCAAAGCAAGCTTTTTGACCGAAGGAATGATAAATTACCTAGATGTTGTAAAAATAGTGTTTGAAAAGCGTCATATGAGGGGTGAAAAGCTTGATAGCTACTAAAAAACTACCATCCCCATTTGAGCTTGTTGTTATGTATACGTTGCCGTCATGTTTTATTCCATTTACGCCAATAAATTTAGGTCTACCCCATCCAAAATCTGCTTCATAACATGGCAATCTGGCCCATGAGTTTATTGTGAGGTTTGGACATGTTGGAGTTTGTGGCCCTCGAACAATAGCCATCAAATCTTGGTGTGATTCCACAAAATCAATAGCTGATCTCAAGTACTCTACATTGTCCATTTTCTTAATTGCCTCATGAATCTTACTCGCAGCATACCATAGTGGTTTGCTTGCGACATCTCCTGCCTTTTCTACACAAGCTGCATAAAAGAGGATGTTCCCACAATAACCCGGTGGCACTTCCATATCATTTAATCTTGACCGTCCTTCAACTGGTATGTAAAGCTTAACATCTTGATCATCTGCTAATCCACGTGCCAAGCATACACTACGCCACACGTGCCCAGATTGCACTTCAAATGTACTCAGCTTGTAAGTTGTTTCGTCTTGAGATGTTGCATTTAGTTTTAGGCCATTCACTTGCTCTTTAGTGAGCTTGAAGATACACTCTGTTTCTGTGACCATCTCACCTGACAGTCGACAGATAATGTTATGGACATAAGTCATATCAGATCCATGATTTGAATAGAATATCATATTATTTTCATTATCATTAAAAAAAGGTCTGATTTGTTGATTGTGGGAAGGTACAAGGCTTTATTCTAGATAGTGAAATTGTGGAACCAAATTATTACTTTGTAATATTATAAATTATGGGAATATAAAAACTGAAAATAGCTTGCAACTAATATAATATCATTTTATTGTGGATCATTAATTGCTTCCCTTATTTCAATTAGATTGCCGGGACTCTTGGGAGTACGTATTGTCAACATAAAAATAGATGATGTTATATGTTCAATATTTAGGCAATGTTAAATATTTAGACAATAAAATACAACATTGTGTAATGGTACAAATTCTTTTGTAAGCGTCCCCGACTCCCCGCTATGTTAAAAGATACTTGTAGCACCAAAGTGTAGCACCAAAGTTGCGGTGTTGAAAGAGGCCCTACCCTAAGGAAATGAATACTATAAATTTATAAATAGGGACATGGGTATAAATCGTGGAGAAAGAATAATCTTCTATTTTATTTCTATAACTTGGTTAGGAAGTTTGTTTGGATACATTCCCTTAAATTTTTGCCATTTTGCATAGAATATATCTCCTATTGCAATGGACCGACAATATTGTTGATGTGATGTTGTAACAGAATTGGTTGCTAATAGATATTTACGAACACTCAAGACTTATGGGTGCCTAATGACTTATGGTCCAATTTATCTTATAATAAGTTAAAAAACAATTTAAAATTTATTTTTTTATAAGCTCAAACTTTAACCCACAAGCTTTGACAGGAGTCTTCAAAACCAACATTACCCTATACAATTTATAAAAATTCACATTATAGGATTCATTGTTGCCTTAGTTTGGCATATTTCATTCTAAAAAAAAAAGCCCAAACTAATTCCGATTCAATCACTTTGACTGAACCCAAACAATCTTATTTGAAAATCAATTTTTCAAAAATGTTAGTTCAAATCTCATATGATTTTGTAAAATCCGAATTAATACTTCCTTCGTGTTTTAATAAGTGTTACACTTTGACTGACACATAGTTTTAGACAATTAATTTACTTAAATAAAATAAGAGGTAATTGGGGCAGTTGAAGTATTAAAAAATTGTAAAAAATTGAAAAGTAATGAATATGAGAGGAAGTAAATAACAAAAAAAATAATAGTATGTTTGGGTGGAGACCATGAAAGGAGAAAGATATAATAATAAAATTTAGCTTGTTACCAAAAAAAAGGGAGTGTAATTTTTGTGAAACATGACCGCATTTAGTACGTGTAACACTTAACTCTTTAAGAATTACATTATTTAGAAGTGAATTTTTTTAGGAAAAATTAAAATAAATAATCCCACCTTTGCCTCACTTGCTCAAAACAATCGCACGTTTTTGAAACTCGGAAACTATCTCACTTTCTCGAAATCTGGAAACAATCCCACCTTAGCTTCTTAAAACGATCATTTTTACCTATAACCAGATTAAAAGGGTTTTTTTTTTTTCCTTTTCTTTTTAAAAAAATTAAATCTTTCAATCTCTCTCTTCCCTCCTCACCACTCTCTAGTCTCCACCAAGCAATCACCATGATCACCACCAGCACACTTCCATAACCACCACCCCCACTCAATCCCACCCCATAACGAACCCCACCCCTTGTCGCCCCGGTTAATTCCTCTTTAAATCCTAAACTCTCCGAAAAATTCATGGATTCCAAATTACAAGCCCTAATTGCCGAACTAATCTCATTTCCAATGCCAAAAATTGCTGCCATTAACAAACACGCATAAGCAATTGGGTTTATCTTAGCAATGGCACATGATTACATAGTGATGAGGAAAGAGAGGTGGATATTAGGTTGGTGATTGAAGTGTTCGAAGGGGCAGCGACGACTGTGGAAGGGGTGGTCAAGTTGATGTTCGGTGGCGAAGGTGGGTAGGAAGAGGGAAGGGGGGAGGAAAGGGAAACGAGGAAGAGGGAAGGGGGAGGGGGGCTGCCATATTCGGCAGGGGAGGGAATCGGGGAAGAGGAGAGGGCGGCTAGTGGGGAGGGCAGTTGATTCTGGCGGGCTATTGGTTTCGCAGGGAGAGGGGGCAGGGAAGGAAAGGGAAAGGTTTATTTTTTATAATTCTTTACTTTTTACAAAAAAACTATTAAAAAAAGTAGGCAGTCACCTTCTATAACCAATACCAATTTCTCAAACCGGTAAAAGGATCGTTTTGAGAAGATGGGGGTATAAGGTGGATTGTTTTGAGATTTCAAAAAGGTGAGATTGTTTTGAAAAGGTGGGGCAAAGGTGGGATTATTAGTTTCAATTTTTCCTATTTCTTAATCCCATGACAAAGGCCTGGAGGGTAATGGTGGCAAGGGTGGCTCATATAATTAGTATAAAAGCAAATAAAATTAATGTAAAATTGTACTTCCTCTATATTTAATTTTATTTACAACACTTCTTATTATGTGCTTGCTAACGCGTTATTATGACCATTTATATTTTCTATTACTAATATGTAAAAATTATAAAAATGTGATATTAATATAGCATAAACTGAGAAGAAGCAAACAAGATCTCACATGAGTATTTCGTTTACTACGAAGTATAAATCATTAAAGGTAGTCAAAATGGAGTATATAAATACTGAAAAAGTCAAAGTGTTGCATTTAAACGAACATAGAAGAAGTATTAGTTTCCTTTTCTTATTGAATATTACATTTGATTCCTTACCTATTAAGTTTTAATTAGTAAAATACACAGTAATATATCTCAAACGATTGCGCATCTAGTAGCAAGGTGTGCCACTTGTCACCGTTGATTAATGTGGGTTCCTTTCTTCCAAGTATTTTTAATTTGGCGGATTTGGACTTAACTTAATAAAATAACATCTCTATCTTTCCCAAAAAAAAAACCAAAAACAAAAACTATACGTCCT